GGGGGGGGGAATATTAACACACAAAAAGCAGTTGTGTGGGCTGGAGAGATACCTTGATGTCTAAGTGCTTGCCTGGCAAGTGCAAGGACTTGGATTCAATTCCTAGTACCACACACTGTGTTGATATACATTGAGCCAAGCATGCCTATAATCCCAGCATTTGGGAGATTGAGGCAAGAGGATTACCATGAATTAAAAGCCAACCTGAGCTACACAGTGAGTTCAAGGTCAGGATGACTACATAGCAAGATCTTGCCTTTCTTTTTGTGTGTGTGGAACCGGAGATTGAACTCAGGTCCTTACGCTTGCCAGGGAAGCGCTTATTCCCCCGAGCCATCTCCCTGGCCCCCACAAGATCTTGTCTTAAAACAAAAACAAAAACAAAACAAACCCCAAGATGTCTATATAAACCAAAGCAATATAGAGATTTAATCCAGTCTTTAGCAAATTTCCAAAAACCATTTTTTTTTTTTTTCAGAAATGGAAAAGCCAATCCTCAGATTCATATGATTTTGGAATGGGCTCTGAAAAGTCAAAACAATCATGTCAAAGAACAACATTGGCATATCATTGTAGTCCCAGATTCTTGGGAAACTGCAGCAGGATTTTTGAGACCAGTCTGGACATCGCATAAGAACTGATTTCCAAAAAAAAGAGCAAAGGACCGGAGAGCTCAGTAGTCTAAAATGCCTGCATAGGCTAGCTTAAGCAAGCACAGGGACCATGGTTCGATCCCCAGCCACAAAAAAAAGTCAAAAAAGGAGCAATATTGGATTTCTTTGTTTGTTTGTTTGTTTGTTTGTTTGTTTGTTTTTTTGTAGAACCGGGGATTGAACTCAGGCCCGGGGATTGAAATTATTGGATTTTTTGAGATGGGATTTTGCTATGCAGTTCAGGCTGGCCTTGAACTGTTTAGCTTATGGTAATTTCAAACTCGTGACACATGCTGCCATGCCTGGTGCAAAATTGAGGATCTAATACTTCCTAATTTCAAGTCCTACAAAGCTGATACTGGTATAAGAATGAATAGACCCATGGGATAGGATCGTCAGCTTTATTTTTTTAAATGTATTTGGTACAGGGTCTCACCCTGCAGTTTGAACTCACAGTGATTCTCCTGTCTCAGCCTCCCCAGCGCTGGGATTACAGGTGTATGTGACCTTGTCCAGTCTTGGGGGCCAGCTCAGTGCATCCGGGGGTGGGGCTTGTACCAGTGTGGCATGTGGTGCTGGGGATCAAACCTTGGTCTCTGAATTTGCCTAAACAGGTGCTTAGTTCACTAAGCTATCTCTCTGGCCCTCTAACTTTCTTTTTTAAGTTTGAGATGACATGGAAATTTACTTACACATTTTCTTAAGCACATATGCACATCCAGATGCATAATTAATACACAGTTCAGTGTAAAGAGGTATTACATACGTAATTATTTGATATATTGGTAATGGTCAAAGCCCAAGAAATGATATTGTTTGGATTCTTTTTCTCTTTTTTTTGTTTTTTTTTAAATTATTTATTTATGTGTGTGTGGCCAGCTCAGCCCACCAGGGGGCGTGGCTGGCTGGTATGTGGTGCTGGGGGATTGAACCGTGGTCCCTGTGCTCTGCTAAGCTTGTTCTAAGTAGGTGCTTTAGACCACTGAGCCATCTCACCAGCCCCTCTCTTTTTTTTTTTTGGAATGATGTTGTTTTTGTTTTGCAGTGTTAGAGATTGAATGTGCTAGGTATAAGGGATGATTTTAACTAGTTACGTTATATAACAATTCCCAGAAATAAAACCATAGATTTGGGGCCTACTTATTTATTTTGCCCCTGGAGATTGAACCCAGGGCCTTGCATATGCTAGGCAATTATCCCAATGAGCCACATCTCCAGCATTTTTTATTTTATTTTGACACAGGGTCTCTCACTAAATTTTCCAGGCTGGCCTTGACTTGTGATAGACCTGCCTCCATCTCCTAAGTAACTGGAATTATAGGCCTGTACCACCATTACTAGCATGGCCAATACTCTGGTTTCTCTTCACATCGTGTAAATCTTTCGCCTTTTACTAGCATGGCCAATTTTTTATTTATTTATTTATTTATTTATTTATTTATTTTGGCGGAACCAGGGATTGTACTCAGAACCTTGCGCTTGCCAGGGAAGTGCTTATTCTACTGAGCCATCTCCCCAGCCCCTAATTTATTTTTGTTGTTGAAACACAAGAGACCCACAGAGCACTCACATCTCAGACACTGGCTCTGTGTGAGCTCTTGCAAGGTCCCATGTCTCTACTTTATTTTCAGAACCGGGGAATGAACTCAGGCCCTTGAGCTTGCCAGGCAAGCGCTTATTCTACTGAGCTATCATCCCGGCCCTCTACTGTTTTTTGAGGCAGGGTCTCACTATATAGTGCACGCTGGCCTTAAACTTGCTTTTGTAGTCTAGGCTTGCTTAGAACTCATGATGCTTCTCCTGCCTCAGCCTCCCAAGTGATGGTATTACAGGCATGCACACATGGCAGGGCCTATTTATTTATTTTTGGTACTGGAATTGAATTTGGAACCTTGTGCTTGCCAGGCAGGCACTTA